CAAACTTGCACACAATTGCAGTTTTCATAAGGGTCTATTTCATTATTGGTGGGTAACTCGTTTAGCAGTTAAATACAGTTAAATAATGTATAGGTAACTGCACAACTGCAGCACTGGTAACTAGACAGACAACCAATTCAACTAGAAACCAGCTAACTGATAACTATCTAAATATTTAAAACACAGCTCTTGTTAGGTTATCCTTTGTTTTGATCACCTTCTTGGAGGGAAAAATCCTGCTGGTCACACTGGAAATATATTGAGGCTAAATCTTCTGTTACCCATTCCCTGAGGTTTCTTTCAGCTGGATTAAGCCTCCAACTCAAGGGCAAGCCAAAATTTTTGGCCTCCAGCATTAATGCTCTTCCCATCTACTAAAGCAGACAGTGTAAGCTTCACACCAGGCCTCAGAGTCTGAGTATATCCCATTCCAGTTAAACTAGAGTTGTTAACTTTTGCAGAAATGAATGCAGTGGGATCCAGCTGATATTTAGCTGCAATGCCAAAGCGAGTGCAGTTGGTACCTGATGTCCAAACAAGGTTTACTGAAGTGTCAAGATCTTCACACACTTTCTGATAAATTGAGCCTCCAAATTCTGTCCCATCGTTGACATTATTTTATAGCTGGAAGTCCCCAGTCCTGTAGCCCACTACAAAGTTATTCCTTGTCAGCTTTGATTTGGCACTGTCAAAGGTCACCTGGTATCCAGCAAGCCAGCCCTCGTAACCAAAGACAGCTGAACTATGGATTGCAGGTCCAGCAAAATCCAAGTCAACATTGCAACCAAGATTTGATTTTACCACTTTTCTTTACTGTGTTTGGTGAAAAGGTGGTATCACATGTCAGTTTCAAACCTTGACATATCTGGTCTTCAACTGCGATTTCTCAGTGTTCCATTTCTCTGTGAAAGTCAGACCATACTGATACCATTTATATTTGGTCTCCAAGGTCCCAGTAACTTTACCAATGTCTGTATTAGATGAACCAGATGTTGAGAATTCCATACCATTACACAACTTTGTTTACACGTCCAGTTTCACCAACCAAAAACAAAATCCTTTGTTGAAAATATCTCTGGCAGCTTTGCCAAGGTCAGCATATGATGGAGGGATACACATTGGCCGGGCGCAGCTCTTTCCGTAGGTTGCTATGGCAAGGCCATGGGAAAATGTGATACTTCTATAACTCCTTTTCCGAACTGTGGTTCCCAAACCCTGCAGACAGTTCCTGGTTGGGGTGCCTGCGAAGAGTCAACTGAGCATTATCCCATTTGCAGAGAGCAAATGCAATGTGTACTTCTGAAAGTCTCTTCAGATCTGCAGTAGGGCTTATTCACATTGTGAACTACAGTAGTCCCTCCTTAACCATGGTTTCGCTTTCCGTGGTTTCAGTTACCTGTCCTGCTGTCAAAGAGGTCCAGCCTTGTTTTCAACAAGCCCAGGAGAAAGCCACTGTCCATAAATTCTGGACCATTAGTCAGTCCAGTTTAGTCGCTATCCTCACCCAGCTAGCTTAGCCTGTGCTCCCGGCTGTGCTCAGCTGGCATTGTGCCCAGGCCTGTGCTTGGAGTCCACGTATGGCTGCCAGACCCCAGGCAGCTATGAGGGCCACTTGGCTGCTGTGGAGAGAGAATGTATAAACAAATGGTGTGCGCACATTATTGAGAGTGAAAGAGTGAAAGCGTGTGAGAGCATGTGTGTACGGTGGGGGGGAGCCGATTTCTGAATATTGACTTTGTATCCCACTTTTTTGCCAAATTCACTTATTAGGTCAAGTGTTTTTTTTTTTTGGTGTAGTCTATAGGGTTTTCTATTGTCATGTCATCTGCAAACAATGACAGTCTTACTTCCTCCTTTCCAATTCAGATGCCTTTTATTTTTTTTTCTTGTCTGATCACTGTGGCTAGGACTTCCAATACTATGTTGAATAGAAGTGGTGAAAGCAGATAACCTTGTCTTGTTCCCAGTCTTAGTGGGAAAGCTTTTAGTTTTTTGCCTGTTGAGTATGATGTTAACTGTAGGTTTTTCATATATGGCTTTTATCGTGTTGAGGTATGCCCCCTTACTCTCACTTTGCTAAGTATTTTTATCATAAATGGATGCTGTACCTTATCAAATGATTTTTCTGCATCTATTGATATGATCATATGATTTTTGTCTTTTTGTTTATGTGAGGTATTACATTTATTGATTTGTGAATATTGTATCATCCTTGCAACCCTGGGATGAATCCCACTTGATCATGGTGGATGGTATTTTTATGTATTGCTGGATGCGATTTGCCAGTATTTTGTTGAGGATTTTATCGTCTTTGTTCATCAGTTATATTGGTCTGTAGTTTTCTTTCTTTGTTGTGTCTTTTTCTGGTTTTGGGATTAGGATGATACAGACCTCATCAAAAGAATTTGGGATTCTTCCCTCTTCTTGGATTTTCTGGAGCAGTCTGAGAAGGACAGGGGTTAGCTCTTCCTTAAATATTTTGTAAAATTCTCCTGTGAAACCTAATCCAGGGCTTTTGTGTGCTGGAAGTTTTTTGATTACTGCTTCAATTTCCCCAGCTGTTATCCTTCTATTCAGGCTTTCTGCTTCTTCTTCATTCAGTGTTAGAAGGTTATATTTTTTTAGAAATTCGTACATTTCACCCAGGTTTTCAAATTTCTTGGCATATAATTGTTCATAGTAATTTCTTACAGTCCTTTGTATTTCTGTGGTCTCAGTTGTAATTTCTCCTCTTTCATTTCTGATATTTATTTGGGTCCTCTCCCTTTTTTTCTTGATGAGTCTACTTAAAGCCTTGTCAATTTTGTTTATCTTTTCAAAGACTAGCTTCTGGATTTATTGATCCTTGAATTGTTCTTTTAGTCTCTATGTCATTCAATTCTGCTCTGATCCTGATTATTTCCTTCCTTCTACTTGCTCTGGGCTTTGTTTGTTGTTTCTCCAGTTATTGAGGATGTAGGGTTAGGTTGTTTATTTGAAATGTTCCTATCTTTTTTAGGTAGGTCTGTATTGCTATGAACTTCCCTCTGAGGACTGCCTTCGCTGTGTCCCATAGGTTTTAAATAAATAAAAAAAATTTTTTTTAAATTTATTTTTAGACAGAGGGGATGAGAGAAAGAGGGGGAGAGAGAGAGGGAGAGAAACTGATGTGTGAGAGAAGCATAGATTGGCTGCCACCTACACACCCCTAGCCAGGGACATGGCCTACCACCCAGGCATGTGCCCTGACCGGGACTTGAACCGTTGACCTCTCGCTTTATGGGATGATGCCCAGCCCATTGAGCCACACCAGTCAGGGCTATCTTCTTTTATCTCTAAGGATATTAATGATGTTTAAAAATATTTTTCATTAGCTCATTTTATTGCTTTTATTTCTTCTATGTACCTTTTCTCTCTAGGAGCCCTTTAGTTTCCTGATCATTTTAGGCATTTATTCATATTTAAGAATGAGGGATACACACACACCCACATTTGGAAACTGTGGACTTGAATGGAGCTTGCCTACTCTAGACTGCCAGCCAGCAGCAGGTATTGATGAAAGATTTCCAGATGAAATTATCCATAGGTCTTTCCTCTGGGGTTGTCCTGTTTCCCCAGAGAAGAATTCTCTAATCGTCTCTATTCTGATAGCAGAATGGGAGGATGGGAACCAGGGGTCTCACTGTTCATGAATTTCACACAGCTCCTCCTCCTCTTCTAGCATTTCTCTCCCATATGCCTGTGGGCTGTTATAGACCTGAGCCTCTTTAGTTCACTTTTTTCCCAGAGAATGAATCTGCTTACCCATGGGGGTGAAGGAGGATTAGTTGCTTGGGTGTGCAAGTTGAGGGGGCCTGGGTGAGTCTTGCTGCCCTTTTTACAGACCTCACACAAGTCACCCTGTTCATAGCCCAGAGCTTCAGTGTCATCATCCAGAGGCCTCCAGGTTCTAGCTGTTGCTCAGTGGGTTACCCCCTTTGGCTTTCTGTTTTCCACACTTTAGTTGCCATCTCCTTTGGAATCTTTCCTGTAATTTTAGTGGAGTTTCACAGTGGAACAGAAGGATAGATAAATGCCCAAGGTTAACCAGAGACCCCATTTCCCTTGTTCTTGTAGTGTCGTGGTATAGGTCATGCGCTGCCTGTTACTATGATTATTGTTTGTTTCACTTCTGTGAGTTCTTCCTAGCCCGGTTGTTTATAGCTGAGTATTGAGGAGGGGCCAGTACTCTATTATCCCTTCTGAAGGACCAAGACTCTACTATCCGTTCTGAATTCTTTCAGCATTTGCATCCCCCAGGCAATGAGATTGGCTGCTAGGTAGACCCATCCAACACCTGCTTCTTCAAAGAGAGTGTGTCTTCCCTGGCTCAGTTGGTGAGAACATCATCCCAATACTCCAGAGTTGCAGGTTCAATCTCTGTGGATACAAGAGTCAACCAATGGAATGTTTTTCTGAGATGTTTCTCCTTCCTTCTCTGCTCCCCTCTAAAAAAAAAAAAATAGAGTATGTCTAAGTTTTTCTCTCTCTCCCCCCATACCTCCTCTCTCTGTTGCCAGTCCAGGCTCAGGTAATTCTGGACACCAGCTCACATACTCAGTTTACACTGTATAAACAAACTGTTCTTGCCCCTCGGGGTGATCCATCAGCTGTGCAGGACTGCTTTTCAGATGCCTCCTCTGGCATCTTCCTTCATTCCATTCAACCTTCCTTGTTTTGGCAGCACTTTCTCATTCATTAGATTCAGAGTTGTGGATGATTCTTAGTGTCAGGGGAAGTGGACTTTGAGTTTTCTTTCCCTTGTTTCTAAGTGATTTCTGAGAAAGGGCAGAAAATTTGTATTCTGCTGTCTCTACTCATTAATATCATATTGGTTTTTATTACTTTCTGTCTCAAAAAGTAGACTTTTCCTACTGTTCCCCTCCAATTGAAAGGCTTTTTCTATACTCAGTACACCTGAGATTATGTCTACTTGGTGCCACAGCATTTTCTTGCTTAATTTTTGCTTTATGTTCTTTTAGGGAAGATCCTCCAACACGTTCTCAGCCAGACAGTGATGATGAGGCAGAAGAAATACAGGTTGGTTCAAAATAAAATACTCTGTCCTGTAGACTTTTCTCATTTCAACGATCTCTGAAATAGTTCTGACATTTTAGGTCTTAGCGTATATTCATTAAAGAGAGAAATTACATGAAACTCTCACTTTTATAATACTTTTATTACATATACTTTGTGTTCAGGAAGCTGCCACCTGTCTATGGATTGTTTTTATCTGGAATGCTGCTTTTTGAAAGCCCAGTACAGTATTTACATTTAAGTGTTTTTTCTCTGTCCTTTTACCCATGCAGTGGTCGGATGATGAGAACACAGCCACGCTCACGGTAAGGGCGGAGCCCCGGCAGGGCGACACCTCACACTGCCACGCAGCCGCCGCGGGGTTTCGGTGCAGGTCTCTAAATTCCCATTTACTACCATTTCAAATTGCATTTTCTGTGTTGACTATTACCTATTTTTTTGAAAAATAATTCAAATCATTGTTTATAGGCAAACATACCCTGCTCTTTTTTTCCCTTTGACTACAAAGGAAATTATTTTAAGTGTATGATTGATGCTTTGACTTGTTTCTCTTAAGCTCTGAAAGAAGGAATCAGGTCTGGATCTGTGGAACCTAAATTAAAGTGAAAATCTGTATTCACTTACTCAAGTATATTTACATGTCATAAAACAGAATTTCTTTTAAGTGAGTGTAGAGAAGTTCATGATTTTAACCAGGAGCTTGTATAAAAATGTAAAAGTTGATTGAGCATATTACAGTCTTTCAGTATAAGAGTGCTATTGCTGTTGTCTAATTTAATTTAAAATACTTTTTAATAAAAATATATTTACAGGAATGAATAAAGTAAAAAATGTATTTCTAAAAATATAGCAGGCAAATGAAACTCCTCATACCTTGAGATAATAAAGGTTTTTATAAAATTTCCTACAAATAAATGTGAAGGTACATTAAAGGAGACTAGTTTTAGCAGAGAGGGTATGTTCTAGCATAATTCTAAATAAGATACTTCTGTTTAATGAAAGAGATATGGTTTCCAGAGTACAAGAAAAAAAGAAGTACCTAAACTGATATATTTCCTCAGGTATAAAGAGCATGTCAACATGTTCAGAAAGGGAAAGATTGCATGTTTTATTTCACTTTGGATGTCATACAGGTTAATCATTCTCTTTTTATGAAAATTCTATTCAGCACAGTGTATAGTACAGGGCACTATACTGGGTTCTATGAAGTTAAAAACTATGAATATAATTTAATTCCTACCATCATGGAAGTTATAAACCACTAGGGAAAGATGCCCCAGTTTGGGGGAAGATGACAAAATGCTATCTGAACAAAGAGAACAGTTAGAACTGAGGGGATCTACGTACACTTAAAGGGAGAAGTGACATTTGATCTGGATCCTAAAAGTGGTAAGGATTATCAATATCAACTCATGTTTAAAGATAGATAGCTACAGAAATTAATAATATGCGCGTGTGTGTGTCTATTTAATAAACTGTTCACTAAGATCTAGAAGTAATGATATATGACATCACATCAGCAACGAGCATTCTCTAATGCCCTGACTTTGGTTTCTAATCACCATTCTCCATGAAATGGCACCAAAGCTCTTTGGAGAAACTCAAGAGTTGGGGGTAGGAAAGTAAAGATAAGCATGTAACAATTTGTTATCAGAAAGTAAGGAAGTGCTCAAAGAATGATGGGGACGTGACAAAAAGGAACCAGAAGCCAGCTTCAGTGGGCTCCCACTGGCCAAATATTTGAGCATCCTAACAAACAATGAAAGTAATGGAGTGTAGTCATCGACGAAAACTAGAATCCATGATCTCACACTGACATAAATGATTAAATTAAATAAATGAAGCGGAGGGGAAAGCCCTTCTTTATAGTAGAAAAGGCACAGATGTAGAAGAAATGTGATACATTAGAAGAAACAATAGAATTAGAAGTCACCATATGGCAGACATCATAGTAATAATCGATGGGATAGGTGTTAAAACTCGTTGAGTGAATATTTGATGAGAAAGAGGCTACTTGCATATTCTCAAAGTATCTCCATCAAAATTACTTACTAGTTTCAAAGGGAAAAACAGTAACTTTACAATGGAAAGACCTGGCAGCCAAGTGATCAAAGTTCACCTTGTCAGGATGGACAGACCTACATTGTGGACTTTCTGATAAAGATGCATATCAGCTGCCAAAATGTCATAACCGGAATCTAATCATGAGGAAACATCCACAAACTCATCGTTTCGGAAATTACATAGAATAACTGCCCTGTAAGCTTCAAAAATGTCAGAGTCATGAAAGATGAAGGAGAACGGAGAAAGGAACTATTATAGATTAGAGGAGATTAAACAGACTTTATGACTAAATGTAATGCATGAGTCTTGAGTGGATCCTGGGTCAGAAAAAAATACTTTCTTTTGCTATAAAAGACACTTTTTAGGACAGTGGACACATTTTTAATGAGATGTCAATAAAATAATGGTATTTATCAGTGTTAGCTCTCTGATTTTGATAATTTTGCTAGGTTATATAAAAGAGTGTTACTAACTTTCTAGGGACTATGCACTGAAGTATTTAGGAGTAAATGGGCATCATGACTTCAACTTACTTTAAAAGAATGTAGTATGTTTTATATGTGTAAATATAAATACACAACACCTACATAGTTATATATTGAGAGAGGAGAGAAGGGAGAATGATAAAGCAAATGTGGTAAAATACCTGAGTGAAAAGTAATGGAAATTTTGTTACTCTTTTAATTCTTGTGAAAGTCTGAAATTGTTTTAAAATAAAAAAGTTAATTGAAAAAAGTGATTGTGTTTCACTGGATGGAACTAAATGTTGGGCAGGAGGACAGTTATGGCAGAACACTTAGGGGAATGTGAGCCAAGACTTGAGGTTGGGAGAACACAAAGTGAATGAATGGTAGTTGTCCATTAGTGCACATACAAAAACACTGAGTTAAAAAAGAAAAAAGAAAAAAAAAAAGCCCTAAAGATGGATAAATCTAAAAAACACAATAGTGAATTTCAAAGAGTAGGTTACTAAAAGTTTAGTAACAAGTGACAGCTCTGTTGAAATTTTTAAATGGTATATTTTATAGACAGGCTCATGTATCACTAGTATAAAATCATGACTATAGATGAATATGCCTAATTTTGTAACGATGGTTGCCTTTGGGGAAGAGGGAAGACTTAGGGAGGAGAACAAGGAGGTAAAGAGCTTCATTTGTATTGTACTGTTTTTCCCCCTGTTAAGAAATTCAAAGGTGTGTATCAAATTGTTGAATATTTGCCAGATTATTCAGTATTTGTATCCAAGGACATGGGTGTGTATATATATATATATATATATATATATACTATATACTATATATATATATAGTAAATTTTAACCATTTTATCATTTTTTTTTAAATTTTAAAAAATTAAAAAAATTCAATACCCTTTTTGAATGGGTCTGAAAAATGTTAAAAAAGAAATACCGTATCTGGTTCAGGGGTGTGGTGGTGGACATTTGGAAAGAAAGGTAAACTCAGATCACAGAAAAATGATGGATACGATTAAAGTGTGGATTTTATCCCCCTTAGAAGGGAACCCTTTCCAAGACAACTGAGGTGTTATGCACATTTAAAATTGATTCATTGAGTTATGAGTTTAAAAGATTACTATTAAGCCTTTTGAAGTAGAATTTTCAGAAACAGATAGAACCATGACTCCTCTATAGATTTAAAACTCTTTAACACATATTGATGGTTTTATTTAACTTATGAGGGAGTCAGGCCGTTGTTACATAATTGGTTCAAAGACAACCCAAATGAAAGACACATTTATAGATTAGGACTATGGAAGTAAATATGCAAATAAGGTAGACAAGTTTTTCCTCCCACAAAGGTGGGAGGGAAGACAACTAGATTGCTATCAGTCAGGATAGAATTTTTGCATCCATGGAAATACTTTTCATTGTTATTGCGTACCTACAATTTACCTCCTTGTAGAATAGCTAAAAGACTCAGCAAGAATCAGATAACCCACAAGGGAGTGCTTGTAGACAATACATAATCTTCCACTGTAGCACAAATTTTTCTCTTCAATGCATAAACTTTTTTTAATTTAAATTGGTATTAGGATTCTTATAGCAGGATTTCTTAAAGTTGAGTAATTTGAACATTTGAGGAAATCAATCACATATTTTAAAATGTAATATATAAATTTAAAGCAATCCTTATATGGGAAGTTTTATAGGATAGGGAAATTAACTTTTTTAACCTTTGAAGATTGAATCCCTTCATGTTGTAAATTTTGTGTAACTATGCCAGTTGTCAAAATTATTGCTAATGAATATCTAAGATAAGAGTTTTTGTGGCTAGAGCTCCTGGGGAGCCAAATCAACAACTTCAGGGAATTTTTAGGAAATTATTGGCATAGCATGGATAGTGTGATTTCTTTTGAGGAGGAAAAACAAATGGAAAATGAAGGACTCAAGGCTGTTACTCATTTTGAAACCTTCTCACCAGAGTTTAATTTTATGTATATAAGCTGAAAAAGTCAAGTAAAAGTTACAGTTAGCAGACTGTCAAATAACTAAAAGATGCTAACTACTGTAGAGGTTGTATACATCTGCAGCAAAAAAAAAAAAAAAAAAAAAAAAAAATTCACCTGACCTGCTCTTTATCTCAATTGTTTCTCACTAGTGCTTGAGGTTGCTTTCTAGTTACAGTGATATATTTCCATTTTTTTAAACCTACTTTTTTGGTCTGCGTTCTCAGACTCTTATCACAGTTTTTTCCTCTGTCGTAGCTGGGTTAGAATTTGGAGATAAGCAAAAGCCAGTGATTTTCACTCATGTGCCTCATGGCACATATAAACAAACCAATTAGTAAAATTCTGCAGCACACCAAAAAATATGTCAATACTTTTTGCCGATAGGACAAAAAAATCAGGTATAATTTTGATTCACACCGGATGGCTAGTTTTGTGTTGGCTGTTGTTACTTTTTATTTGACAGTCTAAGGGAAAAGAAGTCAGTGCCCTTCACTAAATAGTCAGGTATTATATGTTTTAAAAATTCTTGTAGCACACCAGTGTGCCTCTTGTGGTGTCCTATGGCACACTGGTTGAAAATTGCTGGCATAAACCATTTGATTTATTTTGTAGGGTGTAGTTTAGCTCATGCTAGACCTATGGTAACTTTTCTCCCCCTGTATTAAAGAGCTTGTCACTACTGGACTTTTTCAGAATTTGCAGTTGCCCAGTAGAGGGCAGCAAACATAAAGGGATAATGTGACTTTGTAGAGTATCTGTTACTATTTTTGTGTTGGCTCCCCTGCAGGCTCCGCTTCATGCCTCTTACTCTCCTTTTCTGTACTTTATGTCCGTGAGCCCCTTTCACACTGACATAGGCTTGAGGCAGAGCATAACAGCAACTGCATTTAAGTTCCTTCGCAAGTATTTCTTTTTACTTCTTAGTTGAAATGACATTAGAATGTTTTGGTTACTTGCTTATATAAAATATGCATTTTAAAATCAGTCAATAAAGAAAGAACATTTTAACTTCACAAAGGTCCTATTTTTAGTTTTATTTATATTAAAACTTGTCTGGAAATAGCAGTGTTTAAATACAGTTTACCATATAATTTATTTCTCATTCTCATAAAGCCTTTTGGGGATTTGTCCAAGCATCTGTTCCTGCAAATGGAAAGGCTTCTGGGCCTTTAAACGTCAGGTGTTATTTCTGAGCATGGGTCTATACGTACAAGTGATACTCCATCTGTCTCTTTTCCCATAATAAATAAATACTGGTTTTATATAGGTGTTAAGAGAACCATTCATTTCCTTCCTCACATCCCCGGATGCCTTGTGACATCTGTCTCTTTAGCTATATGGGTTTTAATTATTTTAGAAAATGACATTTGGGCACTTTCCCCCTTTCTGGTAAATGTTGTTTTTATTTAGCTGAATTCAGAATTCTGATAGTGATTTATATTCTGAATTATTTTCAACACCCTAAATAGTTTAACCTTGAAATTTGACCTTGTATTCTATATTTACTGTGATGATATTGACATGCCCAAATAATTTCTTCTTTCTCTCTGTAGGCACCAGAATTTCCTGAGTTCACCACTACAGTCCAAGAAGCTATCAATTCCCTGGGGGGCAGTGTATTTCCTAAGCTTAACTGGAGTGCCCCACGGGTAGGCCACATCAGTAAATCTCTCATTGTTTGAATAGTCTTTGCTTTGCTGTTCTTTTCATTTTATGGCCCCACAGAGGGTCTAATAATATCCCTAAGTCTAGGGAAAATACTGTGGAATTTATTTTTCTTTTCCCCTGTTACTTTATTTTCCTGATTTTGCATAATATTTTCCTTGCACTATAAAGTACTGTAAATTTTGTCAAAAGACAGTTTCAGCTTCTGTGGTGCCAATCATGCAGCAGATCTGGCGAAACATATGCTGGTTCCTTTGCAAAACTTCAGCTTTTCAATTTAACAGAAATTTTTCTCTATTGAAAATTAATAAAATGTAAATGTCTCAGGATCTAGAAATTGATCAGTTTAAGAAATCAGCTGATACCTTCTTATGTTTTATTATTTTAATATTACACTGACAAGATTTTTTCCTAAGTTAAGGTCTGTGGAAAAATTTATTGTTTTTTCTAATTCAATAGAAAACAATTTTATGTCATCTAAGTTCATTTAAAGAATCAAAAACTTATTTGCGTTTCAAGCATCATCTCATGCGTATCTTTTTGATTCTAAAATGAATGACAAACTTTACTTAATCTAATTTTTATTTTTATTCATTAAAATTAATTACACATATACATAGTTTAAATTTTCAAAAGCTCCGGTTGCTTCCTACAAAAATCAGCAAGTCTTGACATACTTTGCTTCACCATTTTCTACTCCTCAGAGACTTTCAAATATTTTAGTACATTCTTTGTTATTTTCCTCTACTTCTTTATTCTTCAATTTTAGGTATTTATTATTGACTTCCTACTCTAGAACAGAAAGATTCAGCTTTTATCTCCTGTTCTTTTTTAAAAATTATATTTTATTGATTATGTTACAGTTGTCTCAACTTTTCCCCTTTTGCCCCCCTCAACTCAGCACCCCACACTCCCTCAGGCGGTCCCCACAGCATCGTTCATGTCCATGAGTCCTGTGTATAAGTTCTTTGGCCATTCCCTTTCTTATACTGTACTGTACATCCCCATGGCTATTCTGTAAGTACCTATTCGTACTTCTTAATCCCCTCACCTCTTCATTTACCAACACCCCCTTCCTATCTGACAATCATAGAGACTCTGTATTCATGATTCTGTCTCTGTTCTTGGTTGCATAGTTTGTTTTTTAGATTTAATTGTAGATAGATATGTATTTATTGCCATTTTATTGTTCATAGATTTGGTCTTCTTCTTAAATAAGTGCCTTTTAACATTTCATGTAATAATGGTTTGGTGATGTTGAACTCCTTTAGTTTTTTCTTGGCTGGGAAGTTCTTTTATCTGTCCTTCATTCTAAATAGTATCTTTACTGGGTAATCTTTGGCTGTAGCTCCCTGCTTTTCGTGACTTTGAATATTACTTGTCAATCCCTTCTAGCCTGCAAAGTTTCTTTTTCCGAAATCAGCTGACAGTCTTATGGGAATCCCCTGGATGTTACTAACTGCTTTTTCTCCCTGCTTTTAAGATTCTCTCTTTATCTTGAACCTTTGGCATTTTAATTATGATGTGTCTTGGAGTGGGCCTCTTTCCATCCATCTTGTGTGGAACTCTCTGTGCTTCCTGGACTTGGATGTCTATTTCCTTCACCAAATTAAGGAAGTTGTCTTTCATTACTTTTTCAATAGACTTCAAATTTCTTGCTCTCCCTCTTCTTCTGACACCCCAATGATGCAAATGTTAGAAACCTTGAAGTTATCCCAGAGGGTCCTTACGCTATCCTCATATTTTTTGGATTCTTTTTTCTTCTTGTTCTGTGTGGTTGTTTTTTGCTTCCGTATGTTCCAAATGATTGATTTGATTCTCAGCTTCATCTACTCTACTGTTGTTTTCATGTAAATTGTTCTTTATTTCAATTAGTGTAGCCTTTTCTGAATGGATCTTTTTTATGTTGCTGAGGTCCTCACTAAGTTCCTTGAACACCTTAATAGCCAGTGTTTTGAACTCCGCATCTGATAGATTCTTTATCTCCATTTCATTTAGCTCTGTTTCTGGAGTTTTGATCTGTTCTTCATTTCGGCCACATTTCTTTGTCTCCTCATTGTGGCTGCCTCCCTGTATTTGTATTAGGTAGAGCTACTATAACTCCCTTCTTGGTAGTGTGGCCTAATGAGGTAGGTGTCCTGTAGGGTTCAGTAGTATAGTCTCCACTATCACCCAAGCTGGGTACTCGCAGTGCAACCTTTGTGTGTGCTGAGTACACCCTCCTCTTGTAGTTGAGCTGTGGTTGCTGTTGACAGGTCATTAGGAGGGATTTACCCAGGCAAGGGTGGGCTGTGACCACTGACCACCAACCTCCAGCCTCCATTGAGTTTCAGCTCTGTAGGGGCAGGGTGGTGGTGCTCTGATGCGGTCTGTAGCTGTCCACTGGGTTTGCAGGCTCTGGGGTTTCCTGGGTAGTGCAGGCCAAGGTCGGCCCCCACCTGTTTTCTGCCTGGGACCACCCTTCCTGAGCTATAAAACAATCTGAGGTGGCTGCTACTCGTGCTAGGCTTGGAGACTCCCAGGAGAAGCCAAACTATGACCCAAATCTGGCTGCTGCTGGTGCTGGGCCTGGGACCACTTTGCAAGAGGTACTGAGGCCATCTGCTCAGTGAGGCAGTTGCTTATTTGAGAGGATTTAGGAAGTTGTGAAGCCTGAGCCAAGACCAGCCATTCATATGGAAAAGCCACTGTTAACAGTTTGGGTGGGCCAGTAAGTTGTGTGCGACAGAGCCTTAGGGGAGCTCCACTGTGGGGCAAACAGTGTTAGCCAGGTTGATAGGGTCTCAGTACAGTGTCCACCTGCTGGGTCTATGGCTCTGTGGGGGGAGGGTTTAGAAAAAGGACAATGGCCTCTGCCCACCTTTCTGTCTGGGGAAAAGCTGTCCCCCATCTCTCACCGTGATGCCAGACACTTCAGTTCTTCCCTGTGCACCTCTGGTGACTTTCAAGCTGCTATCCTGGTATTGGAGCTCAGAGGGAGTGAATCTGAGTAAGTCTATGTGTGGGTTCTTTAAAAGCAGCTCCTTGGGACTCTCGAAGTTTCTTCCAATGACTCAATCTCTGCTGGTTTTTGCATCCAGAAGTTATGGGACTCACCGTCCTGGCAATGGAACCCTGGTCTGAGGGGACCTGGCGTGGGGCTGGGACTCATGGCTCCCAGAATATCCCTCCTGAATTTTTATCCATCATACGTGTATGTGGGACCAACTTGTTCCATTTCTCTGCCCTGCCTACCAGTCTGGATGATGTGGTTTCTTCAGTTCCATAGTTGTGGGACTTTCATTCAACTCAATTTCTGATGGTTCTAAGTGATGGTTGTTCTGTAGTTTAGTTGTGATTTTCATATGGTTGTGCAAGGAGGTAAACCGTGTTTACCTACACCTCCATCTTGACTGAAAGTCCAGGCTTTTTCACTACTTTCTACTTAGAATTCTATTCTAGTATTCTTTTTATTATAGTACTACCATACTCTTCATTAGATTAGTATTCAGTGTTTCTAATATGATTTTGCAAACACTGTACACATCTAATATATACTATACTATGGTTACTTATGTTTTCTTATTCAAAATTTTGTTTTCCTTGGACTTAGTAATTGTCTTGTTTATTCAGTTGCATGGTTTATATGCATATATACTGTTGTTTTAGTGGAGTTAAATCTCTGTGTTCAATATACATCTATAATCAGAAGTTCATCATCTTTTTATTGGGAGAATTAGAAAGAAGTTACTAAAACTCATTTTTACTTTATATATGAACAGTAATTTGAATCATTCATTACTGCTGAACTGGGTTGAGGCTTTCCACTTAAGATAGGTAAATTATTTGAGTGTCTTCTATGTGCCAGTGCTTTCTATATTGTAAATAATTGGATAGTTTTTTTTAAAAACTATCATTAGTTTTCTTAAAGTTATATTATTGTCCTGTGTCTAATCTATTTATGGGAGAAGTATGTTTTTAAAAAAATATTTTTTTTAGATTTTATTTATTTAGTTTTAGAGAGAGGGAAAAGGAAGGGGAGAGAGAGGGAGAGAAACATTGATGTGAGAGAGAGAAGCATTAGTTGGTTCCCCTTTGTATGTGCCCTGATCAGGACTAAACCCACAACCCAGGCATGTGCCCTGACCAGGAAATGAACCCGTGGACTTTTGCTTTGTGGAACGATGCCCAACCAACTCAGCCACACTGGCCAGGGCAGATATATTTTTTAAAGAATTATTTTATCCTTTTTAGGCATGTTTCACAGTGCTTTGTGTCTGTTGTGCCTATATTCTTATCTTTTTGTTGTTGTTATTCATATATATGATTCACTATTTAAAATTGGGATGGTTCAGAATATCTTACCTTCTCTCTCCCAGATTTGATATACATGGGTCTTAAGTGCTCTAGTGAAACTTACGCTATTTCAGTTCTCACTCCCAGAAAGAGAAAGAAAGGAAAGGATCCTCTTTTGTTAGAGAGTAGCTGGTCAGGCTATTTATTTACACCTAGACCTCCTTGCTGAAGTGGCAGCATCTCTGATACCTTTTTATCCCCTTCTTTTCTTGTTAGCAAGAAAAAAACCTAGGGAAGTGCTTGGGCCTGAGCCGAAAGGTGGGGGTTTTAACATTTGTGTTCGTAACTGAGTGTCAGCGTGCTATGGTGATGCTATTCATTGTTTAGAAGTTTAACTGACATTTGACAGTATAGCTAAAATTCTTACTTGACTTTTTTTCTTTGAACCCTTGAAGAAATAAGCATTATTGATTTGGTATATAGACCTGAGCTTTGTTCATAGCAACTAACTTGGAATATATACTAAGTAACATGTGTTCTATTATTTAGGATGCATACTGGATAGCAATGAATAGTTCTCTGAAATGTAACACCCTCAGCGACATCTTTCTACTGTTCAAGAGTTCTGATTTCATCACTCGTGACTTCACTCAGCCGTAAGTATATCTCTTACTCTCCCATGTCAGTAGTTTCTGTACTTGTGAGAGTTTTTCTACAGATGAAATTCCATTAGTTCAAAAACTACCATAAACAACAGTTGCATGTAACTAGTGTTTTTCATATTCTCAAGTGGCCTATTAAAGCAAACCTTTCTTTTCCTTATATAGAAATTGCTGTATAATGAATATCTTTAAATGGGTTTTCTATATCTCTGCCCATTAGTTGTTTTGGTACTTATAAAACCAGTGCATAAATGTTTTAAGCTTTGCTGTACATCTGAAACTAATATAAAATAATACTGAATGTCAATTGTAATTGAAAAATTAAATTAAAAATTTAAAAAAATAAAGGATAAAAAACACCCCCGAACATATACTTATCATAGAAACACAAAATTAGGAACTGTAGCTAAACAAAAATAGGAAATGTAAAAGCACCCATGATCTCATCACAGTTTTATATACTTCCAGAATTTTATCTATTATAGGTATAATATAGATATACCTGTCTCTTAACTATGTTATAATTTTTTAAAACACAAATGAGATCATGTAATTCATACGCCTAGTAGGATAGTTTCGCACTTATCAGTATATAGCAAATGTTTTTATGTTATTAAATACATAAATTCACCATTATTTTAAATTACCTTAATAATATCCCACTGGCTAGCAATAGCATAATTTGTTTGACGATCTTTCTGTTCTTATATACAGTTCTGTAGTGAATATCTAAATCCTTGTGCACTTTCCTAATTTTTCTTTAGAGTAACTGCCCAGAAGTGAAATTGCTGTTTTCCTTCCTTTGCGAGTTACTCTGTTGCTAAAGAACTTGACAGCCAGTCCAACTGCATTGTTGAGCTGTGGGTGATCTCTTTATGCTTCTTTTATTCTGTCATCAAGTAGCAGTAATTCTTCTAGATTTCTCATCTTACCTCATCTTAAACAAACCAGTTACCTCAACTCATCTTCAAACTGACATCTAAAATAAAACATCACAAAATCTAGATAGTAAGCAGGTGAAAATATTGTATGTGCATGTTATTTCTTCTCAATCCATCCAGTTTATATTTTATTTTTTTATTTATTGATTTTAGAGAGAGAAGGAAGAGAGAGAAACATTGATCTGTTGTTCCACCCTTCTATGAATTCATTGGTTGATTCTTATGTGTGCACTGACCAGGGATCGAACCCACAACATTGGCATATTGATATTGGGACAATGCTCTAACCAACTGAGCTACGTGGCCAGGGCCCCATTCATCCACTTAGTTTGCCCTGCCCATTCATTCATTTTAGCTTCAAATCCTTTTTTGAAGAGGAGCCTGGCAGGAAAAAATAAATTCACTGCATGTGAGTTGTGCATCAGTACTTTTGCATCTGAATTCTGCAGATTGAGCATATCCTTTGCATTATGTTCTTTAAATAAAATAAGATTAAGTAATACTAAGTGTGCATGATTGTATTGGAAGTTTATTACCAAGGAATTTTAGCTTATTGGTGTTAGGTGTGTGGTGCCCTTGTTTTTGTAAGAGTGCAGTAGCATTTCACTCTAGGAGATACCCTCTGATTAGAGGAAGTCGTGATTACCTTTTTTTTTTCCATTATAAAGCCTTTTAACATCTAATATTTTAGGTAAAAAGGCCTTGAAATATATTATATTAAAAATATTCTGTGCCTATTAATTTGTCAGATACGGATTTTTGTGTACCTTTAATGTTAGTTGCAGTGAAAGCATGAGGAAATCTTTTTCTTTCCAAAAATAATTGTGAATCACTTTTAATTCTCTGTGGCTGTTGGTTTTCTAAAACATCTTCCCAGTTTAGTGATCTTCTGCCTCCTATTAGCGCATCTCTCCCTTTTTGTTTTACATGAATTTAACTGTGATTCCAGTGGAAGGTAGAAGTATGAGTCAGTTGTTTGCATTTTGTACCTTTGACTTCTGCATGGGGAGGAAGTTAAATCAGCAAGTGAATTGAAGCCTTGAATTAAGAGTGTTTACCCACAGAATACCATCCTTCTCTTCATATAAATAATTGGGAGTTGGCAGAACCCAATGCCAAGCACTCAGCTTTCAGCCAGGCAGGACTTTTATGTCATCCTTTTTTGGAAATGTTTGTCAGTATTTTGTTGCAGGACAATTAATGTCTTATCATAGCATAAAAGTCCTTATTGATAGTACCTGTAATGAAAGGTGAATTTTTGTCACGTAGTCCTTTCAGGACCTCGTGAAGGTTAAATTAAGAGTATAATTCTTGCCTGGCCGAGTAGCTCAGTTGGTTAGGGTGTCATCCTGACACACCAAGGTTTAGGGCTTTTCCCCAGTCAGAATTTCCCCAGGAATCAACCAATGAATGCATAAATGGGTGGAACAACGGATCGATGCTTCTCTCTCTAAGATCAATAAATTAAAAATAAAAAATACAATTCTTTAAATTGGATAGGGTGATATTAGATTCATTCTTTCTATTGGTTAGAAAATTGAGGCGTGAATCTGGTCAGTAATTTGTTCGCACAAACTAATTAATAGAAACAAAATCAGAATATAATTTCAGTAACGTCGTTCTAAGAGTTCTCTCTGTATTTTCACTTGATAAAGTTATAAATTTCTCCTTTTCAAATGCTTTGCATTAAAATACTACAGAATAGAATAAAATATAATAATAATTATATAGATATTTATAAAATTATGTAACATGAAAGTGAGATTATGTTTTTTAGACCATTTGTGGACTTGCCTCAAAAAAAGAAACAAAAATGTTATAGTCAACATTGCAAGTTAACAGAAGACCAAATAGAACTAGTTTACACATACAGGGCTTTAAAAAAGATATTTAACAAGGAGTCTGGAGATTGGGTATGTCTAGGGTTAGTCAGCAGCTTGGCACAGTGACCGGGGGGCCCAGGCTCCTTCAGTCTATCCCTGCTGCCATCCTTGGCTGTTGGCGTGGTATTTGGGTTTATCACCTAACGGCAAGATTGCTGCTATAGTTCCAGGTATCACATAAAGACATGACTATATGTGAATCAAAAATAGGGTATGTTCTTTTCATTCTTTGTACATGAGCAAGTAAAGCACTCTGGAAGTTTCCCGGGAGAATTCCTGTCAGGCTCATTCTTTACACAGTTACCCAGCCTAATCCAGTACTTGGCAGAAGGAACAGAAATGTTGTGATTGGTTTAGACTAGGGGCTCTTAGTCTTTGGCCGCATCAGAACCATCTGGGGATTCTGATAAAACACTGATTGCTGCTCCCCATCCCAACAGTTTCTGGTTCAGTAGGCTGGGAATGGTACCCGAGAGTATAATTTCCAACATGTCCCCCAGGTGATCTTGCTGGTGCTGGGCCGGGCTCTTTCCTTGAGGATTACTTAGATTAGTCTGTACGTATGTATGTCCCTGGCATCCTGGAGGGGACGACGGACGCAAAAGCTTCCTGATAGGAACAGTCACAATTCTATTAGCAAGGATGAATGTTGGGAATAGCTAGAAGACTGACCTCCAATGTTGTCTACCACCTTTGTAATTTTACATAGAATATTAAGTACTCTTATTTTTCCCGTTCCTCCAATAGTTTTTGTATCTAAGAATCTTTAAAATGTGGAAGTTGAAATAGGACACATTTAACATCATCTGTCTGCATTATACTTGCTGAGTGTTATTTACCCCAATATAAACATTCTATATGATTAGACCTCTTGAATTATAAAACTTATTCTTAAGATTTTTATTTATTTTTAAAAGGTTTTTATTTATTTTATTTTTTGAGAGAGGGAAAGAGAGGGAGGAAGAGAGGGAGAGAAACATTTATGTGAGAAACATCGATCAGTCACCTCTCATACATGCCCCGGCTGGGACTGAACCCACAACCCAGGCCTGTGCCCTGACTGGGAATCAGCATTGCAGGATGATGCCCAACCAACGAGCCACACTGACCAGGGCCATAAGGCTTTTTTCATTCATTGTTTTATTGATTAAATCTCACTTCAGTAGGCGAAGGCAAGAAAAAATATCTGACATTCACTTGGCAGTTAAAAGAAAGGGCTGAATGAGTAAAAAATTAATCCATTAATATTTTTTTCTTGAGGGGTTTGTGACTAAGGAGATTTAATTAGAGGTCAGGAAATTTCACTTGTGTTTATAATTTATACTCAGCTATTTAAAAATAATTCTTATATATTTTTTCCTCAAGATTATCACAAAACTGATTATTAATCCTAAAATTCAGCAACAAAGAATTAGTTTCAGGAGTAAAATTTTGTGCATAAGCTGGACTTAACAGAAACTTTACCTCGTGATTTTTAAGGCCCATTTGTTTAGATAACAATTTTTCTGCTTTAGGTTGTTTCTGAAGAAAAATTCTATGCAAATTAGTATGAACACGCCTAATTATCCTTAATTCACTGTCATTTTACTTTTACCTTTCCTTTTCTGCCACCAGTGAAATCTGATGAAATAGAATCTGTGTACCAGAACTCTTATTTTGGTTCCTGGTGAACAATAAAAGCTACACCACCAGAATTTTGATGTGAATTTCCCCCCTGTATTTTATTTTTCTGTTCAAGATATAATTTTTCTTCTTATACATAGGAGTTACTTACTGTGAGGTACAATGCTGTAACCTTACAACTTTTTAAGAAAAACTTAGCAGTGAGGACCGTGCCCTAGTAGATACCTAGCGTGGTCTACCGCTTTAGAGCATTCATGGTTTTGTCTTCTGCCACTTTATAAAGCTTTAATGAGGATGTTTTCTCATTACTTATAAAAATGACAAAACTTATCTCAGTCAATGGATTTGGGTAATTCCTAAGTTTTCTAGAGTGAATTCACATCAATGATACTCTCAGCACATACCAGTACTGTAGATTCCCCCCCTCCCCCGCCCCGTTCCTGTTGCATTGGCTTGTAGTAGAGCTAGAGCTTAAGCCATTTGAGTAGTTTATATTGCAAACCAGTGCTCAAATACTACACCTTACTCCCAACAAATGGTATTCATC